GGAAATGATGAAGCAAAAATATTGGAAGGGATAGAAAAATTAGGATTAATGTAGTGTATCGAAGTAATAAAAAAAAAAAAAAAAAAAAAAAATAAAAAAAAAACAACAACAACAACAACCAAAAAATAACCTGTCAAATGTGCGCGTTGACGGTGTTACTGAGAAAATTAACGAGTATCGATAACTCGTACGAAAAAGGGTTATCTCAATGCAGATATAACTGACAAATGGACGTACAAAATATATAGTCGATCAAAGATTTATAATCCTATTAAAATGGCGCGTGAAATAACGATGGGATTTTGGAAATGCATCAAATAAATCGTCGGTTTAAATTCGTTCCTTTATAAAAACAACGTTTTCTCCCCGATTATAATACAAGAAAATAATTGTATATACGATTATATTCTGATCGTTCTCATGCTTTTCAGATATTATATTGTCAGATTAGATCGAATAATTACAATTGAAGTTATCTTTGGTAACTAATAATATTATCTGGAATCAGATTAAACCGACTAATTTCATCGATTAAAACGTATTTACCGATATCCTACGATAGTCATATTTATTAACGTACTAATTAACAACTTGTCAATATATTCATTTATATTTGAATTAATAAAATAAGATCTCTCTGCGTGAATGGATTAATTATTTTATAAGAAACATTCCCAATATAATAATAATAATAATTATTATTATAATTATAATAACAAGAACAGTATAAGACTTAGGGGGATTGGAAACGTTTAATCGATCATTGTCTTCTCTTGGGGATTCCCATCGTCCCACATGGGAATACTAATTCGGCAAATTACCGAAATCGCGTTTAGGCGCGCGGCTTCCACACATATGGGGTTGTTGGTTGCGGTGGTTAATGCGTTTCACAGGGACACCCATGGGATCGGACCGGACCAACCAATGCTTGCATTCGTCAAAATCCAGAACAGGAAATCCATTTTGACACGAACTTTTGTGGTAAACCTTTATTACCATGTGTGATTTGCGAATGATTTGCAAATGAAAATGTCTACACGTGTATCTTTATTCTATTTATTTTTTGTTAATAATTAATCTATATTACTTCTCAATATTTTATTTTTATTTAATTATAATATTTTATATTTTTTCTTCAATCATTTTTAATATTGATAAATATTTGTTGTATCACATGAAATTATATTACTTTGTTTTATTTGTTTTTTCTTATCATTTTCCTGATTTCGACATGACAAAATAAATGCTCATCCTATTCGAATACGCATGTTGTTACGCGCATGCAAAATGATTCATTAATAATATAAACAAATATTACACGAATCTCAAATTTTGTTTTGTTATGTATTAAATATAAAAGTTCAATAAAACTAAAAAAATATGTATATATGCATAAATTTGAATTTTAATAATATAATTCATTCGTTCGAATGAAATAATATATCAAAGTGTCTTATGATTTTATATCTAAAAATACAATATTTTTATATCTATCTCTCTTTTGAGGTAAGATTAAAAAAAAAAAGAAAAACTTACCAAGAACGGTGCCAGCGTATGAATGAGAAATGTCGAATGGTATAGAACCATGAGTGCCTTCAAATGTTACGTCTTTACTAAAAATGTTGTCATCGCGAATCAATCGTATCGTCCACAATCTGCAAAAATAAACGAAATGATTTTGTCAATATAATATACGTATATATCGACATGTTAAACCTCGAATGAATAAAATTGTTTTAATAAAAAATAATAGTTAAGATTAGGAGAGAAGAAAAACTTTGTATGAATCAATCGTAAAAATATAAAAATACAAAAATTAAGTATTTTTGTTATCTTACTATTAGAGAAATAAAAAATCTTCGTGACTAATTGAATTTATTATTCTTGATTACCAGGTTTAATGAATAAAAGTACAAATGTTTGAGAATCATAGTTTACACGCGTATGCATAAATAAACAACATTTGTTAAAATACACACACAAATATGTATATATCATATTATTAATATATGATATATATCATAGTCAGTATGATATCATATGATCATATCATATATCA